TTAGTGAAAGAAATACGTCATAAGCTGTCACAGCTAACGACGAGCAGATCACTATCCGGTTCATAAGTGTACGGACGTCACTTCAGTTTAAACTACGCCCACTGCACATGCATAGAGTACCAAAGTGTGACGTCACAGTGAACCACAAAGTGCAGTGCAAACGAATGCAGTACGCGCGCGTGTTGGTTCACGCGCTGGTTCTCGTAGTAATGCCTTTTACACACAGCATTGTGCGCGTGACCTATTCGCTTCGGTTCTCAATTGTACATAGAGTTACATGCATTGCATTGATACCCGTTTACGTTGAACCAAGGAACCGGAAGTTAACGCGCAACTTCAGCGACCGTCCAATGGGAGCCTGCAACTGGTGGGGCGTCCGCCTTTGTGACGAATTCACTTACGAGCCAGATAGGTAAAATCTGCCAGGCGCGCGAGCTCACTCAACGCGTGACAAAAGCGGTGGTTATCAATTCAGTATTTCTCTCACTTTTTCTCAATGACTTGAAATATTACCACACAGTGACTGTACCAAGTTTCACTGCAATGTTTCCAAAGGTGAGAGAGATATCGGGGAATGAAGGCAAATATTTTGATGAGTCATCTTATGTACTGTTTTTTCGTTTACACAACACATGTAATTGCACTCAGGAAAGTAAGTTCTTTCTATTTCAGGATAAAAAAGTCAAAGAGGTCATAATTATCTTAGAGTGCATGTTCTCCCATCGATTGGAACAATTAAGTTTCATTTCCCTAATTATTTCCTAACGTGATAGAAAAATCAGCGAATTAAGGCAAGAATTTGCTTCAATCATGCTTTTTGTTCATTTCCTTGATTGTACTTGTGGTAGTTATGCCAGTAAAGTTGGGTCTATCTAGTAGGGTACGCCTAAATGTTTGCCAAAATGGGGGTGGGGTGGGGAATTGAGAACTAGAGCATAAAAAGTCCGGAAATTGTTCAGATCTCGCAATCACAGTTTCGTCTGAAAGGGCACAAGTTTCTGTGTCCATTGATGTAAGTTTCATTATCAATCTTCTGTAATTAGGGAAATATGCAAAAGGCAAGGAGGCAAGAGTTGTCGTATTACGTGGTCCATTGAAGCGTGCGATACTGCATGTACTTTGCGCAATCTAAATGACTGTACATGTCATCGTTCTCGCGATGACGTCATCCAATCAGCCTGTGTTGACGACCAACCAAAAGGATTTTTTTTGGTGGGCGGGGAACGCAGGATCTTTTTTATTCTTTATGGGATCACAATGAATGGGGTAAACATGATGTTTTTTAAGTGGTTACATAACTTTTGTTACTTTAAAATACTTCACGTGAAATAAATGTTTTCTATTTCTGTTAACCTTTAAAGTTACTATCCTTTACTTTCATGCTCTCATGTCAACGCACATAAACTTTGGTCATCAGAGTTTTCACTGGCCTCATATCAGCTGCCACTGGAAAACGTGTGATCGTTGTTTAACAGTGCATGGCTACTTCAGGACAAAGGTGTGAACCAGGATTTGAATGGATGTGAAGGGAGGCTTACACCATGTGGAGTCATGGGGTTTGGCTCAGCAACTGACGAGAAATCATGCATCTAGGAATTTTCGGCCTCTCCTCAGCGGATCAATGGGGTTAAATTAAGAGATAGTGGTGGCCTTTGGTGGGGGATGTCATTTTGTTCCTTCTAATAGCGTGTACAAAATCTCCTCAAAAATAAGCAGCATCCTCTCCGAAAGGTCATACATAAGAAAAAATTAAGATATTCCCACATGTTTTGGGTCCTTGTATGAAATTCACGTCTACTATCAGTAGACTGGTATATTTAAGAGGCTGTTTTTGCACAGAAATCCTTTGGCCAAGTGAGAATATACGAGTGCATGTATTTATAAGTTTGTCTGAAATATAAAAATAAAAACAATTAAACTGCTCAGGGTGCTGATAGTGCTAGTGATAACAGATTTGTTAAGCACCATGCAATCTACATCACGGCACAAGTGGCTGTGATTGAGAGCATGTTTGGACACTGACATTGTTGGAGTCAAATGGAACCCACAGACAGCATATATATACATGATCCATTTGATTTGCGGACATGAAAGTAGCACTTATAACTCCATTTTAGAAAAATCTCCTAAAAACAAATGACTTTGACAACTTCCCTTTAATACCTCCAATTTTCACAACCAGCTGTCACAGTTCAAATTTTTTTAATAGGTTAAAATTACATGTAAATACAAATGCAGCAAAAAAAAATTGAAGCTAAATGGTAGATCAACATTATTTTCCCTAAGGTTATGAAGCAAAAATTATCAGAGATAGGAATGCCAAGACTATACCCGATGTCACAAATGCCACTAGATGATTTTGAATGGGGTGCCACATGAAATTTGCTGACAGACGGTCACGCAAAACAAATGTACTGTATCACCCTTCCTTTCATCTCAATTCTCTATTCTTCGTTTTCTTACTTTGCAGACAGACCAAGATTTTGCCCCCCTCTAGAATGCCCGTGGAATAGGGTAACATTTGATCAATACATGTAGTGCGATAAAAACAGTAAGTGTAACAGAAAAAGCCGATAAAAGTCAAAACATTCCGGAATCAGTCACATCACATAAGTTAAAAGAGGACTTTACATCTTTAATACCAAAGCATCTCAGATATAGTTAGAAGCAAGGTCCCTCATAAAGTACTGCAAGTTTCAGTTGGGGCATGAGGCAAGATAGCAGGTCCAAAACACACTTGAATGGGTAGGTATTTCCGTCAGTCCCGCACACAAGACCAGGGTCCGTTGCTGCACTGCATGTAATCTGGCAGACCCCCACTGACACTGCAGATGTTGTTGGGGCTGGACACAGAAAAAAAAAATTTTCATTCATCTTTTCTCTAAGTAACACTGTACACACACAAGATATTTGTCGAGAGTTACTCACAAACCCTTATAATGTCTTTACTTTGAATTCCTAGGGTACCAACATCTTCAACCCTTCTTTAGATTTATAAATAATCCCTGCTGAAGGTCAATGACTGCACATTTATGGCATATGACCTAAACAAAAGCAACTATGTAATCATTTTATTTTATGCTCTTGTGAGATCATACCAAGCACCAATGACAACATGAAGGTTCCATTTTCCTATACTTCAGTACAAAAAGTTTTAAGGATGCAGGATAAAAACTGCGGCAAACGAAGGGTACAGCCTAGGGAGAGCTCTTTGTGCTCTAAGTATGGATATACTGGGCATGCCTAAAAGCAGCATTTAACAAGATGTTTTGGCCCAGGCCTTTGAAACTCTTCATGTGTTCTTCCTCCATTGCTTAAGGCAGGTATTCCATTGGAAATGTACAGAAATAGGACTGCCAAATAAACCTTGAATATCTTATATAAAAGAAAGTAAAAGCCTTGGTCTATCTGCACGATATTTCCACCTAAAATGCTGTTTCTGGGAAGCAGAAATTTTGCTCCTCTTTAATGACGGCTGACCGGCCATCATTTCAAAGTTTATTTGTTTTAAATACTATATCACGGTGTGTGTCTGAATAGATAGAATAAACTGAATAGATGGAATAAGCTGAATGCATTCAATTTTTCGAAAACCTAATATAAAAATGTGTGCAATGATTCGAAGAAACAGAACTGTGTACAGAACAAAAAATCTAACAGCTAGTGTTCTCACCTGGACGTTTAGTAGACGAAGTGGCTTTAGCTGGAGAATCAGTGGCTTCAACAGCAGTATCAGTATGCTCAAATGCTTTGTCAGTAGGTTGAACTGCAGAATGAGTTTGTTCAACTGGAATATCAGATGGTTCAAATGGAGCATCAGTTAATGGTACAGGAGCATCAGTTCTCTGAGTTGTTTCCACTGGGGAATCAGTTGGTTGTACACGAGCTTCAGTTGGCTCAATAGGAGCATCAGTTGCCTTTACAGGACCATCAGTTTTTGGTGTTGGTTCAACTGGGGCATCAGTTGGTTGTACAGGAGCATCAGTAGGTTGAATCGGAGCATCAG